CGTTCTGTGGCTTTAATTTTCGAAGAGAAGCATAAAGAAGAGCTTCAAAAAATGGTGGAAGTGTTATGCGAAAATGAGAGCTTTTCGTGCAGTCGATATATCGAGGTTTGTGTTCAGTGAAGCATCTTTTATTTTGTGAAAGTTCTATTGCTGTTAAAAAAGAATATAGTTTTACAGTTATTAATTGAATTTTGGACATCGTAATTAAATGTATCAAGCAATCACGGTGGTTTCATAATAAAAGAGATCCTTATAACTTTTTTTTAAAGATTATGGAGCAATTTGTATGCATTCATAACGAATCACCATCACAAATGTCTTATGGACGTTTGATAGCACTGATCGCATTCGCTGGACTGATTGCTACACGATTGATCGACATGAAATATTTCGCAGAAGTTTCAATGGTTATGTCATACACCTCAAAATTTCTGCACAAAAGAATTGCTTTGACGTGGCCATATCATAAGCGTTCTTGGGTTCGTTCGTATTATGGTGTAATTTATCATTTTTAACTTTAATTTCATATGACTGTGAGGAAGATATAACTGTTACATAAAAAGACGAAATTATAACGATAGGATTGAGTAGTGGAGAATGAGTAATTGACTTCAAAACTGTTATTACTAAATAGTAAATAATTATTTTTATCACACATAAGTGTTAATCTGAGGGGATTCTCAACCTAGATTCTCATCTAGGTTATATTTGCAGAAGATCCTCGAAATAGTGGATGTTTGGAGTTCTGAGTATGTTTTCTGGTTCACTTGAAACGGTGAAAGTTTATATTTTAGATTGAAAGACAAGAACTCCGTGATAATTATTTCTTCCATTTTATTTAAAGTTTAATTAAATTTTAGAGTAAATTTTTTGATCTTGCAAGGACAATAATCAAGCTGAACAAAACTGAAGAAGTAGAGTCAAAAGTAGAAAAGAATGAATGGCGGTCAGCAGTTAGCGGATTGGCTGTTTTCGGTGTTGTAAGCATTGTCGTTTTTACATTATTTAGATTCTTGCTTAGAACACGGTGATTTATTTGTTATCCACTTGTTTTTTTTTCCTTTTTTTTTACTTAAGTTAGAGCGGTCTATTTTGAGATCCGTTTAAAATCTTACTTGTGAAGCGGAAATTAATGCATTCGTCTTCTAACTGTTTACTGTATTACTTATTGCTTATATAATTTGTGGAAAAGATCTCTCTATGTTTGCTTTGTTTGCCTGGCAAATAGGTGGAGAAAGGGTTGAAAGGATGTAGTTGATTTTTTTATAGCCTTACTACTGGAATGGTAAATTCCGAAGATACGTTCTGTTCTTCTTATATTATTTCTCTTTTAAAATACAAGTTTTCATATTGTTTGTACTTTAATACATATTGTTGTTTTGACCTTATTCTGTAATCGCGGAAATCAGTCTTTCCAGGACCACATTGAATTTTTTGATTCATGAACTGGATTTAGTAAATTTTTTTTAAAAAAGCCTTAGGGATTTTTAATGGTCCTTTGTTATTTTGTTCTTGCTACAATCGTTTCTTTATGAATTAGTGGATTTTTTCGAATTTTTGTTCTATTGTTGTCGTATGATATGCTGTGAATAGCAGCACATTTTCCAGTTTGATAGGTGCTGGTTTTGCAACAAATTTAATTTCACTTATATGCTCATTTATACGAGATTTAACACATTCCAATCAAGTGTTTTTCACGGTTTTTTGATTAGATTTATGTCTCGAAAGTAAAATTTATCAAATTGCATCATGTTTTACTAAAAAATGCGATGGCTTATAATCCAGATAATTCGGAAATATTAGTATCATAAAGTTTGTGAAGGAACATGCGTGCAGTGCAAGGTTATCTTCAACCTTTGATGTTACCAGATGTGTAAAAAAGATCAAAGGTTGAAGATAATCTTGATGTTACCAGATCTTTTTCACATATGTTTTAAAAATTTTTGAATAACCGTTTCATGATTTTCGAAACGTACGTCATAGCTGTAGAGAATACAAAACGTGTCTGGAAGGTTCAAATCCGAATATGGTCACTCGCAACGCGTAAGTGCTAATGTTAAAGTAGGTTGTAGCGATACGTTTCGTGACACTTCGAGCAACGGAGAGACACGTTTTGCGTTCACGCAGTATTCATCAACAAAAGAATGAAAAGTTTTATTTTTGAAGAAATGAGTGCCGTTGATTTAGTCACAGTGGGAAATGATCAATATAATGAAGATACAGTCGATGAATCAATGGATCTGAGAGGGCTTAGTACCATACAGGTTCAGTTTTGTACGATATCTTAATCGATCTTTTAATGGATTGTGGAAATTTGGTTAACGGTATAAACAAAAATAGTGGACTCAGGAAAAAATGAGGGCTGACTTTTATTATTTAACAAGAAATATCGTTGTATGAAAGGCAGATAATAAACCTTCAAGAATGCAATGAATATTTAGTAAGCTGGACTTAATCTTTAACCCTTCTGTTACTCTAAATATTTGCTTCGTCGTTCAATGACTGTAAGACTTTTTCTTTCACTATAAAACTTATTTCAGTTTCTTCTTAATGCTGATTTCTTCAGCTATCCCTCCATTTATGATGTGTCTTTTTTTTTTCAAAGTTTAAAATTTACTTGTCGATTTGCAGAGTTACGTCACTGATTATATCCAGTATCGTGTACATCTACATAACGTTTACTGTCCGCGTTTACCAGAAATCCCAGTTTCGGACGATTATCGATTTGAATTAATTCGAGCGGTTGCCTTAATTTTTGAAAAGAAGCATGCAGAAGAACTCACGAATATGGTTACAACATTATGCCTTAATGGAAGGCTTACATTTCAACGATATGTTGAGGTAAATGTATGCATAACATTTACCCACATATTTTTTGAATGACAAATACTAGTATATTTTAATATTTATAAACTCTTTTTATTAGAAATTCATCTCAGACGGTGCAATCGTTTTTCCCATATACTAGTCGTTTTATTTTAAATATGACTTTGTAGCTATTAACTTGAACTACCTTGCTGTTTCATTCGTGATTTGTAATTTTATTTATTACGCTTACAAATTCTGTCACATAAAAGGCATATAATGTAGCATCCTTGAGAGATTTAATAGTATCTTCCGAACTACGGCCCTCACTTACATATAAATATATTCTAGTAATTTAGGCCAGTAAATATTGCAGGTCGTAGAATGTTTTGCTCATAACGATGATGATGAGTCAAATAAGCAACTGTCTTATGGAAGATTGGTGGCATTGATTGCATTTGCTGGATTAGTTGCGATGAAACTTTGTGATTTGCAGTTGTTTACAGAAGTGTCAATGATTGCACCATATACGTCTAAATTCTTGCACAAGCGAATCGTTTTGACATGGCCACAGGATAGACGTTCTTGGGTATATGAATGAACTACTTTTTAAATATTTTCTTGGGAAATCATTTTTTCGGTTTTTTCCTAATTTCTAGAGCAATGTGTGATGATTTCATTATATGTTAATTACTCAGAGCAAAATTTGGAAAATGATACAAAATCCACAATTATTAATGTTACTGTGCAGACCATCGAATTTCAAAATAATTTGAGATGAATATAATATAGTCTGAAATATTTGAGAATATATCTATTAGGCAGAAGTTTATCTTTACTATGGTAGAAGTGAAGAAAGTGCAAGTCGATTGATTCTTTGTTAAGCAGTACCACAAATCAAACATAACTATTCCAAACTTTTTTTTGCGCGTGAGACCTGATACGTTTATGTTATATCTGAATTACATACACAAAACGAAGTAATGAAGTGAAATTTTGGATATTCTTATGATAATTGTAAATATTCGTAATACTTATATTCGAACTGTTTTCAAATTTGGTTTATATGTCGGTTTAAATTATCACATAACAGTAGATATTGGTTTTAAATTAGCCGTTTAGTTTTAAATTTGAGTTATCATATTCACTTCTCTTAATTTATTTAGAAAATGGTTTTATCATAAGTTCAGTTCTTTATACATATTTCAGGAAGACTTTTTTGATCGCGCCAGAACCATAATTGATAAGAATGAAGCTGAAGAGAGTGAAAAAGTTAACCTGAAATCTGAATGCAATCGATGGTGGCTGTCGATTAGAGCATTGGTGATATTCGGCATGTTTGGTATCGGTGCCTTCACATTGGTGAAAACAATACTGAAAACACGATAATCTGTGATTACAGCAAGATATTTGGTATATAGAGTATATTTTACCAATTTTGGTTGAAACAATTATCACATTTTGTGAAAGACTGTATAAAGGAATGCGAAAATACAGCAAATAATGTTGGAAAACTCCTGTTTCATATTTTGTTACTTGAAAAAGAATCATCTCTTTGTTGATATTAATTACCAATTATAAATCTTGTGGGTAATTTTAGACATATCTAATACATATTTATATCAGAATACTTGAGATAGCATTATAATTAGGAAAGCCGCTGACAACAATTAATCATCATAACTTTAAGCTGTGAATAAAGATAAAATGTGTTATTAGTTTCAAGGTTGTGTTGTATCCATTGTCATATCCATTCCTTCGTAATTTCCTCTTCTGTCGATCGTACTTTAAACTATTCCCTTATTAAAATATGCATTTATTAATTATTAATTATGATTTATTCTTGTTTAATGTCGCTACTGTTTCAACATAACTTTTGTACATTTGAAAATAAATTGTTTATGATTTTCTTTCTTTCTTTTCTTTTTTTTTTTGTTCCATGTAATTTCGGGAATGCTTGGTTTATCATCCAGAAAGTTTATTCAGGGAGGGCAATATTGATATTACAATTATGTTTGGGTAGTAGAAATTTTCTTAGATTTATCAAAAGGTACGAATTCGGAAATCTGGCAGATACGGTTGTTAAGATTTTTGAAAAGTTTCCTGGAATTACTCATTTCTGGAATTATGTCAGAGTTGCATTCCAACTTCGAAAGTTATCGAAGCTTATGGAAGTGGTTTTTTTGATTTGTAGAATGAAAAATATTCATCTATTTGGGAAACTCGTGATTCGAGGATGTATTAAATGTCAAAAACGTACGTTCATTCATCGGTGGAGCAAATTCATACGATGGCAAGAGTTGGTAGCTGAAGAAGTAGAAGAGAAGAAAGTTGAAAATTCAGTGAAGAATTACATGAAACTAGCAGGTGGTGGATATATTTCGCCTGAACGAGTTGAAGATGGTAAGTTTGTGATGTGCTACACATTTTTTATAAGATATATTCCATCACTTACACTTCGGAATGTAACTAATAATTCATCGACCGTGCAATTCAATTCAGTGTGATCACTTTTCCTTCTGTAGCTTGTATAACTTCTTGTTCTAATTCAATGCTGTCTCTAAATTTTAACTCAGTTTAATCAGTTTTGATTCAGCAGTTTCTAGCAACAGTCGAATTGTGATATGTAATAAAATAAAAGATTTTACATTCCTTTTCTGTTTAAATCATTTTTATTGAACAATTGCATAATTTGATGTCATCAATAACAATCTTCTAGTAAAGTTTTGGTTAGAATAAATTGATCAAATAATTTTTAGAAATTCTCTCAGCTTTTTTTCCAGCTTTTTATTTAAATTAGATTTCAACTAACATTAACACCAGTTTTCTCAGTTCTGCCAAGAAAACAGCCGGAGGATGTGCCAAATGATATCGAATTTAATACATTTTATACACAGCTACGATATGTCGACCATAGTCTGGATAATTTACGTCGCTTTAAACGTTATGAACATTTTCAACATCTCCAATATGATCAAAGGTAATTAATTATTCTTTTTGTCTATTATTCTCATTACTATTATAATCTATTCTAAATAGGATAAGTTCATATGCAATATTATTTAGATAGTTATTGAATCACATTTATTAAAATGCAAATCACATTTATAATGCAAATCACATTTATTAAAAAGTGGTGCTGTAGGAATTGTTGATTTATAGTAATTGCACTCTATCATATATATATATGTTATTATTAAGTACATGAAAACTGCACAATATAATTAATACAGTTTCAATCTAACATGAATTTTTGGTAATTTTTGGGCGTTTAAAAAATATATCGACTTCGGTTAACTGATTAAATGATAGGTCTTGGTACAAAAAGGAAATTGACATATATTTCATTTATTATTACCAGAAGAGGAATTGACGATATTTTCAAGCAATAATAATAATTATGGGGATTGTTTCTCAAAAATCAAATACGATAAGGACGAGAAAAGTAGTGTTAAGCACGATAATTATTATTCTAGTCAATTACATAAAAAGGAACAAAATATAACAGAGTTAAACTGATAAATAAATAAGTACATGGGATAATCAAATTCAACTTATGCCATATTTCTTGGCTATTTTTTTCAATATAGTATAATCTTCCACAGTGCCATGATCAAGTTCGAAAATTCTATCTAAATCATTAACCGGTTCATACTTATAATTTGCATTACACCAGTCCTGATTGCAGCAACATAGTGTACCGATCATTTCTTTATCTTCGTGGGTAGGGCGTATCATAACATCCGTGGCGCAATAACTCATATAACCAAATGCATTTTGTTTCAACCTACCAACTGGATATTTCTTTTCTTCTGTTATATTGTTAACCATAACCTTAAATTTAAATGCATAATTTTTTGTTTCTTTCTTTACTACTACATGTAGATGTTGATTTCAAATGAATAAGTGAACTGAATTCAAAATTTGATCAAATTTTGGAAGTTCTTTGTCATACGCATTTATATTTATTGCTTACATCTTATAATGAAAGGGAAAAACAGTTAATGAATTGAATCTTACCTCGCATATAAAGTTATCATCACAACCACGGACAGTTTTTATGTATGCCGCAAGATCAGTTCCATTAAATGAAAAGCAATATCCGTTAGGGCCACACTCTTCCGCCTGACTTTTTTGCATGCTTGAAAAACACCTTACAGCGGCAGCAATTGAAAGTGATGTTAATAATATGATGGTTAATGATTTCAAATGATATAATACCAGAAAACAACTGCGCATTGTTCCTAAGCCAAGATACAATAATTAAAATCTGTTGTTATAGTGGCATTTATTTAAGCTGAACAGTAGCTTAAATAAATTTCGATAATAAGCATAAATATGAGAATAAAGTATTTGCACATTCATGTCTGTTTGTATATTTCAAGGTAGAATGTTTATTTTAAATTGGTTCGAATTTTAGGAGTATTTGTTATGATAATTTATCACTTTCATCATTTTAAAAATTTCTTTCTTGAATAATTTTGTCGGATATTTTTTTTTTTTGTAATTTGTTTTAAGGATTCTTTAATCTGAAGTTTTTCCAATTTTCATTTATCCTAATAAACAAAACAAAAAGAAGTAAAATGTTATGTTAGTATTATTTTAACAATATCATTAATTGTTTAGAAATTTCAAAATCAAAAAGAATGAGGAAAAAGTAACATTATCATCGAGCTGTAATCAGCTTCTAAATTCCTTATCATTTTGAAATGAATGTGGCTTCAATAAATGACTTTGAATTATAATTCTGCTGCATTTATTAAGGATATTGTTTACTTCTCATTGTTTTTCAGATTTATTCCGGAACGTTTGCTATTTCTTGGCCCAGATTTAGCTGCTGCTCATTTTTTGGTGCATCGTGGAGCAGCTGTGAAATTTGTCGCTGATAAAGTATGGATAAAAAAGGATCATAAAGGAAATTACGCATTACCAGGACAAAAAATCCCGGGCTTGTACATTGAGGCAATTGATGCTAGCGACACAGAATTGATGTTCGAAGGTTTGTCAAAATATTTTCCAAAAAACCTCGCTTTGAAATGTTTTCGGGATAAAAATGATAATAATAATAATAATAATAATAATAATAATAATAATAATAATAATAATAATAATAATAATAATAATAATAATAATAATAATAATAATAATAATAATAATAATAATAATAATAATAATAATAATAATAATAATAATAATAATAATAATAATAATAATAATAATAATAATAATAATAATAATAATAATAATAATAATAATAATAATAATAATAATAATAATAATAATAATAATAATAATAATAATAATAATAATAATAATAATAATAATAATAATAATAATAATAATAATAATAATAATAATAATAATAATAATAATAATAATAATAATAATAATAATAATAATAATAATAATAATAATAATAATAATAATAATAATAATAATAATAATAATAATAATAATAATAATAATAATAATAATAATAATAATAATCAACAGTAGTAATGCTTGATGTTTGTCGGATGACACAAGTTACAGTTTGTTTCTTATGCTTGAGAAGAAATTGTAATTTGCATTATGAGTGATCGCAATTTTTTTCGAAACTGTAGTTCTGTTGATGTAACATTCATGATATTGACATTCTTAATAAAACTTTGTAAATTTCGTAAACTTTTTCCTTTTTAAACATTAATGGTCAATGATTAATTCAGGTTTGGAAAATCTAGCCAGTTTACGTCATTTACGATTGCTAAGACTTGCTGGTTGTTGTTATGCTGATGATTGGATGATGTCACGAATTGGTGCATTGTTCCCGGAATCACTTGAAATGCTAGATCTTAGTGACTGTACTCGAATCACAGCCAAAGGCTTGGCTGGTCTACGAACGCTTAAGAAATTGCGCTATCTTCGTTTAGAAGGAATGGATCATGTCAAGGTATTGATACTGTTATTAGAGGACACGTTTTTCAGAGCAAGTTAAAATTTTTTGCACTTTTTTTTTTTTTTTGTAAGAATGGGTATGGAAAGATAAGAAACACAACATGCAGTAACAATATTACCTAAATGATAATTATTTAGTTATGGATGATTATTTAGTGTAATAATATTCAGATGCTCTCATTCTTCCAGTGCTGATAAAAATAAACAAAAGAATGTGAAATATAATTACATTTTAGTGGATAATTTAGGATATTGCAAAAACGGCTTTGTTATTGGAAGAATCGATTCCAAATTTGAGAATATTTGGGATCAGTTATGAAAATGCTATGCAATTACTGCAGAAGGAAATTGAACTTTTGGCAAACGATAGGGTTATCACGGATGCAAAAGGTTGTGTTTTGAGAGTACTACAATTCAAGTACTAAGTACGGTTTATAGTCGATTCAGGGTTTATAGTCGATTCAGGAACAGATGGCAAAGATAGGGTAAAAGCAGTAAGAAAAATCTGGAAACTCGAGATTGTGGTATTATTTGTTCAAGATTTGAGCAATACTCTGATCCAAGTATATGATTTCAATTTTATTTGTCAAGATTTCTCAAAAGCCTTCAACGACGATAATTTTTATGAGTGAAAAAATGCGAAGCTATTTACAGGTAATGCATATGCTGAAGATGATGATGGGCGATTATTTTATGTTGCTGGTCGAGTAAACGAACGACCTGCTGTTACGGACGATGACAAACCGTTAATGACAAGGTTTTGCTTTTTAATTTTAAACTAAAGGATGTTCTTTTTTTTGCGCAGTATTCATATATGTGTCATTATAGTTATTTGTGTACATAACATAGAAGAGTAAAATGGAAAACATTAGGCAGTCTTTCCTTTTTATTTTTCTTAACTGCATGGAATAATGCGCCTTTTCTCGAATTCATTTTGTAAAAAAAAAAAAGAATTCCACATAGCATTCGAATATTTGTAGTACAATTCGGCGGGAGCTTCCTGAAATGGAAATTGCTGAATTCGAACGACTGGACGAACTTTCGGGTGGTAAATTACGACATTTATTAGTGGGTTCACCTAGTGGTTATTCATGGACACAAGAGGTAGTGAATAATTTCTCTTTTGTCGTTATAAGGTGAAAGCATATGTTTATAAATGATAGAAAGTAAAAATTAAACGAAATGCAGAGTTGTCGGAAAAAATTGTTTGCAATATAATATAATGAGATTTGATTTAAATAATGCCTCGATGAACAAGCAAGGAGTCAGTTTTACAATGCTTTTTAAAGGTGGAAACGATTCTGAGTTTTGAAGAAAAATGGAAGAAGAAGCGTGGTATTCCTGTTGATCAAAAACTTTTGCCAAAATCAAAACGCATGCCACAGTTAAAAGATCCGGTGGTATCGACCAATAATTCATTACTTGATAAACAGGAAGAACATATATTAATCGAAGATAAGATGAGATAATTGAAAAGAAAATCAATGAGTCTTCTTTTGTTTATCTTTTAGGATCTTTTCTGATTGTAGTCAAGGACTGAGCTTTAATATTGTGCTGCGTGAAAGTATAATATCACTGCTTAAGGCTTGAAGCCATATGTGATTTTGAAATTTTAATTGTGTAATTTTTAATGTTCTAAGGCCTATCCTAGACAGTTGTTGATATTCATCTTTTAGTTCATACAGTACGGTGTTTCTGTCTGTTTTACGTGACCAAATACTCATATGCATCAAATCTTCATATATATATATATGCACCAATTCATATAATTTTAAAATATACGTAATCTATTCTCAATGTGATTTAATCATAATCAGAGTTAGAAAATGCTCAAAAATTTAATAGATTGAATTGTGATTGAATTGTAATATACTTCAGTCTTTTTCACACACTTTATTTCATGTTAATTTCTTTATAGATTTATCACATCAGTGATTACCAATAAGCTTTTACGACCGAAATGTTGAAGCACTGAAAGAAACATTTTATAAATCTTCATATATGATAATATAGAAAGCACTAATTTAAACGACTTTTTCATTTTCTGATGAAACTATGATAATGATAATAGCAAGCGACTAATTAATTGCATGCAAAACAACAATTTCCATTCTGTTGAGACCAAATAAGATTGCCAGTTGTGAGTAGATTATTGGAATGTTAGGCAGATTGAAATTGAATTCAATAAAGTAAACTTTAATTCAATATTTGATATATTGCATTTTACTTCTATGATTGAATCAGTGATAGCGATTGATTTGAATTAACAATGGAAAGGATGAAACTGTAAAAAAAAAGTAAAAATATTGGCCTATAAAATTGGCCAACAGATTTTTTGAGTATGGAATTTGCTTGATAGGTTTTTCAAAACTAGAAGGAAGAAATTTTATTTTTTTTATTTACCAAATTTCACTTTTATTTTTTCTTAAATCAGCAGTCGTAGATAGAAGTGGACAAGATTGGATATCTATATATTGGTACGTTTGCTTCGGTTAAAAAACTTTGTTGAGAGGAAATTGATTTTCGATCACTTTTGGACATTGCAGAAATTAGTCCCTCAAAGTATTTTTTATCATTTTGAATTGATAGAAGCGGTAAGTTTGATTAATTTCATTTGGATAACAATTATCTGAGGGAGAGACTTCCAAACATATTTTCTCGGTTTGTCTTTGCAGTTGAACAAACGCAGTTGAACAAACAAATTACAAATTAATAAACAATATTATATATTTAGACAAAAATATTACGAGGTAACCGCTATATTTATTAATTCCTGAAATCTTATTTATTGAAAATGTAATTTTTCTTTTAATCAATAGTGAAAATGTTTTTCATCTTAAGAATTTTACAGTTTTTTATTGTAAATAATTTCAAAATAAAAATTCTATTCCCACCCTTTTTTCTTCTGCTACTTTTCACCCATTCCACTGATAAATTTCTAAAAATTGTCAGTTATCAACAAACACCGCAAGTTTTTGCACATAAATTCACTTTTTCATCACATTCATTGAAAAAAAGCGCCAGCTTACATGTTATATAACTTCCTCTGTCTTCACATTTTTTTGTTGGTTTTTTTGGTGTTCTATTGTTGTTGTTGTTATTTCTGTTGTTATTGTTGTCGTTGTTGTCATTGTTGTTATTCGAGCAAAAACCACAAGAAAAAGGACAAATAGTTTTCATCGAATAATGTGGAAAGAGATCATCACAGTCCATAATTCGTACTAAGATTGGACATGAATAATCAAGGTCACGACAAGTAGTTGCTGAAATTTGTTTTTATTTTTATGAAACTTAATAAAAATGTTGGAAATAAATTCAATATGTTCAAGAATGAGTTATTTATATTTCTAAAGTAATTTGCTTGATTAAATGCACATAAATTAGAAATTTTGTTAATTAAAGATTTCATAATTAACTTACTTGTGAGTTCTAAATTGTCTGTTGATAGGCCAATAGGTTTACCAGTAGTGACAATAGCATTATTAGAAGTAGTAACGGTTGTATACCGTATTTGTGCAGTATCAACAGGTACTTCTGATGACAAGTCTAATATTATTGTCTCTATTTCAGACTTTGTTGTTTTTGGTGGCGGTGGTGGTGGTGCTGGTGTTGCCGTTGGTGCTTTTGGTTTGTTTATCAGTTGGTCAGAACAGGTACCACATGATTTTGGGCATAACTCATTGGCAATTTTCTTGCTATTTGAGCAATAATCGAAAATTGATAACGACCAAATGATGCAACGCCAGCTTTTATCACTACACTCAGAAGTGGGCTGAAAGTAAACACAGTGATAAAAATTTCAAAGACTATCCAGGATTAATTAATTGATCAGTATTAAAAAGATGCGAAGATTGAGGAAAATAGGATAAATTGGACTATTACATTGTTAGGAGAAAAGTGATATGATAATAGGGATGAAAATTTATTGCTATGATATGATAATAGGGATGAAAATTTATTGCTATGATATGATAATAGGGATGAAAATTTATTGCTATGATATGATAATAGGGATGAAAATTTATTGCTATGATATGATAATAGGGATGAAAATTTATTGCTATGATATGATAATAGGGATGAAAATTTATTGCTATGATATGATAATAAGGATGAAAATTTATTGCTATCTGAATTTGTCCCATCTATTCTATTAATTTGTTTATCTGCTCATATCTCATATCAGTTTATATTATTACTCATTAAAATCTTTTAGGGCAAAACAAAAAATTCAAATGTTTGAGTGGTTCTTCAAAAATTTTTGTTTCATTTAAAATTTTATTAATAGCTAATAATAAAAAGGAATACTTGAAGAAAATAAGCACAATAAGTAGTTCAACTTGTCACTATTTGTAAAAAAAGAATGAGTAATCAATGACTGAGGTAGTTTAAAATATGACGACATCACGAATAAACAGTGTCACAACCACTAACAACAACGACAACAGAAAACAACAACAATAGCAACAACACAAAATAACATAGCACAACACAACACACATTAAACATTTATTTAGATTACGTTGAATTGAATTATTTTTTTTAGACAAATGTTATATTTATGCATAAAGTAAACTAAATATACGTATGAGACGAAGAATTATTGTTGACAAAATTATGTGAGTGATGTTTGTTAGTTGTTGCATTGTTTACAAATGTTCCCTTTCTTATACTTAATCATCCGTCTTGTTTTTTCATCATTTACTCAAATATTTAATTTTAATCCATTGCCTATTGATAAAATTTACGCTTCCAATCAAACTGTTACTCCACTTAATAAATTTTTGCTTAATTGATCCTTTTCGGAAAAATCTAACTTTTAGCGGCACTACTGGCCTCGTAACCTCAGCGATATCTTCAATCGAATTTTCATCAATAATAATTTTGGGTTTTGATTTTCGTGAACAAGAATATAATTTATTGATTTTTCGTATATCAATTTTCGATAACGATTCACGTTGTCCCATTTCACCTGCACCGGGCTAAAAAAAAAGAAAAATAAATTCATGAAATAATTCAGCAAAATTTAATGTGCAATAACTGTTAGTACTATTTAAATTTAGAAATTTAACTAACAACAATTTTCGATTTTTTTCTACAAACTTCTATTATGTAATTTTAATGCCTCAATTAAAAGTTCAAAAAATTTTTTTGTATTTTTTTGTTCAAAAAATGAAAACCTTAAGAGCAATTTTTGTTCGAAGTCCATTACCGCTAAATGCATATGGGCCATAATGCATGATTGATGAGTAATCATAAGGTTCACTGAGTATGTCGAGATGTCGCAGACTTTGCTTATCAAATTGATCTTCCGCACCTCGCATCACATTTTGCCACATAATTTCAATATACTCATCACGATCAGGCCTTAACATCACAAATTGTTTTTTTTTTTTCGTTAAATCTTATGCTCACACAACTATTTTGCATTTTTATGATTTGCAGTCTTTCATAAAATCATAATTGCTCTTTATGCTTTTTTAAAAATTTAAATGCTTGTTTTTAATCTCGTGATATTTCAAGAATGATATTCAAATTGTTTTAAGAAAGAAGTCAATTTAGATTTAAGTTTATTTGAATTTTCAATTGTCGATTCTTTATTTTTTGGAGCAGTAGTTCATATATTCCAAATAATTCATTAATTAATTTTTCAGATTCATTTAATTGCTGCAAACTTTTTGTCTTACTTCATTTTTACACCCCAAAATATCACTTTATATTTTTGCTTCTTAAATTAAAAAAGAATTATTAGTTCAGAAGAAAGTTTAAGTTAATAATATCAAATCATTAATTTAATTGTCGAACCATTGCAGGGATTTTTCTTTCTTAAATTTAGACATTTGGCTAATTGATAGTTTGTAAGTTAAATATTTAATAAAGGACGGTAATTAAACAAAAGTCGTCTACTAGTTATTATAAAAGCTAACTTTTCAGGTTTTATTAGTTCACAATTTTTTTTTACATTTTAAATTAATTTATATATTGTTCAAATAAAAATAAAAAAATTATTATTGTTATTATTGCTATTATTAACTTATTGTCATTATTAATTTATTATTATTATTACTATTATTATTTGTTATTATTATTATTACTATTATTAATTAATTACTATTATTATTATTACTATTTTACTATTATTACTATTATTATTTATTATTATTATTACTATTATTAATCCATTATTATCATTATTATTATTATTATGAAAAAGCCAACAGCATGCATTAATTCATATTATATTGTTCTGAAAACAACAGCCTCTAACGAAAGCAGTTACCGGACTGCACGTAACAACTAATGAATAGCAACCGTCATGTGGCATAATGTAAAGATAATCACTGTGTTGATTATGAACATGTGGAACAAATCTAACACAACTTATGTCATGAAATTTTGGCATTGCTTTTGCAATTACTGAACGTGAAACGGTCCACTTTTAATTATGGAATTTCAACGTGAACTAATTCTAAAATAATAATTTGGCCAACGTCTTAATTTAATTTATTAGTTAATATATCTTAAAAAGTAAGATTTGAATGAAATAAATTTTCATAATTGATAATTTCTGAATTTTAGTTATTTATTGTTGAATGATTTATGATGGAAAATTCATTTTATATTATCACACTGTAATTATTGCTTATTGCAATTTAATAAAATAGAAAAAATATTAGAAAAAACTATTTGCATTTTTTCTAAAATTTGAATGATACCTGTAAAATTGTCTCACAGCACTTCGTTCTAAACGACTATTTCGATAATCAATAAATCCTTTAAAACTTGGTAAAACTATATCGCCTTCAGTCATGTTACCCATTGTTGGATCAGATTTTATTTGAATACCTAACAATGTAAGGTTATACTCTTCTTCTGGCGCTTTTGCAAAATCATCGTCTGTTAGCGTAGTTTCTTCATCAATTCCATTTTCAATGATAATCTGCAAATAAAGAAAAGGCAAAAACTTTTGTTAAAGATAATAAACATAATAAAAAATTTTTGAAATTTATTGTATAATAAATTTTTTGAAATTTATAAATTTTTGAAAAATTTTTTGAAATTTAAAAATTTATTATGTTTGTTATGTTAAAGATAATAAACATAATAAACATTTTTGAAATTTATTGTAGTTGTGTTATAGAAATTTTGGGTTTTTTTTTTTTAATTTTATTTAAATCTAAATTTAGCAACGATAAATTAACTTTAAATTTAGCAAAATTTGACTGGTTTTTTTGGCTTTTTATATTAAAATCCAAGACTTATGTATGATTAAAAGTTATGTGTGTTATACAAGCTAACAAAATTCAAAGTATCTTACATCTTCAAGTTTTATGGCTGTTGCTAAATTTAGCAATGATACAAATTGGATTATTAAGAGATATACACATTTTGATAGTAATGCCATTACTGAACTGAAATCAATAAGTTATAAAAAATAAAAATAATAATTCATTAATTAGTGAATACTGTATTCATTATATGTGTTCATATCGTATTAATTTCATTTATTTCAAGTAATGGGCGGAGAGAAAAAATTGAACATTCAGGGAGAAATATGCTTAATACCGTGGCAAAATTACTGTGTTTTCGTTTCCGCTAATATTTGAGAATTGAAATTGCATAAATTCATTGATTGAATTCGAGAATCTTAAATAAGTTTTTAACTAGCTAATCTCTTTTCGGATATAGTTATGATCAATTCCTAAGTTTTATATAATACAATTGGCATTTATTCAATTATATTTTACCATCGACATTTATTTATTTAAAATTAATTTTCAAACCTTTTTTCAGTCATTTTTTTTAAGAATTTAGAAATTAAAAATGGCAAAGCAGAAACAAAAAGTGAAAAGAACGACGAATATGTCATATGCCAATCATTTTAGGGAATAAGAAGAAAAGGATAAGAAAATTCAATAAAATCAGAATAGCAAAAAAACAAAAAAATAAAAAATAAAAATGTGAACAAACTCATAGCACAGCAATAGTCTTTTATATATAATAGTTTATAAAACAGAAATGAAAAAAAATGGAATGACATAAAATATTAGCATAATTTCATAAACTTTTTTTTAGTCCGTAAAAATTTTTTGGCCAAATCTTTTGTTCCTTTAAATATTTAAAATTTAACTTCCTCAATTAACAATGATAAAATGGTTGGATTTATTAAGTAATGAGCAAGAAATTGTACTTTTAATACTTTCCGTTCCATCTCGCCGCGATTATTTAAGTTCAAAATTTAAAACTTTCACAATTTGTTTTCAATCATACAAATATGTTTTCAGAGCTATCATCAATTTATAGTATTTAAAAAAAAAAAATTAAAAAAAGTTATATATATATATATAATGCATTTTGTTTTACAGAAATTTTCAGATGTTTTCAGATGCAATTGCAAAATTTTTCAGTGCAAATTTAAAAAAGAAAAATGAAATAAAACCTGAAAAAAGCAGGAAAATTTTTAATTGAAAAAATTCAAATGTTGAAATTTTAATTTTATGCTGCACACTTAATATAATTGCATAAGAGATATTTCAAAGCATACATGCTTTTCTATGTAAAATTGATGATAACAATTATTTCCATCTTTCTGTTTGAATAAACGATAAATAAATCATTGATAATTTTAAAAGGAAAGAGTGATGATATGATGTTAATAATGATGATGACGATACGATGATAATAACAGTCAAGTGAATGACCTCGAATGAAACATTTAATATAATCATTAGTTGCTTTCACTTTTATTATGCAATTAATTCACTTCTAGCAAATAATTGCATTTATCAAGGTCAAAGGTTTCAATTTTCTGCTACAATGTACATTTGAAAAATTGAAAATAAAATATAAAGGCAATGAAATGAGAAAAAAAAGGTAATAATTTGAAAAATTCTAGTAAATTCTAATTTACATCCAACTTATCAAAATTATTCTATCAGTTTTTTTTTTTTTTTTGCTTCTATTCAGAATGATTCGAATTGAAGAAAATGTATATTTTGAAAACGTATATATTTCGAGATTGGAGGAAATAGCAGAATACGAAATTATTTGTTCCTTTTGAAAAATGCATTTAAAAAGGAGGAAATGACGAAGTATGAAAACTTTCTTCCTATATCATTTGATATTTTTTAAATATATATGTATATATAAGGAAAGGGAAAATTATAAAATATGAAATATTGTGTTATTTAATAAATTAAAAAAAAATTTGTATGAATTATTAATTATGTATGATTCCCAAAGTGCTTCGAAAAAATTTCTTTCCACCGAATTTTCAATATTTTTCTTTTGATATATATATATATATATATATATATATATATATATATATATATATATATATATAGACATACTTATTTATTTAATTTCTGGAATAATTCATTTTTTGAAGAAATATTTTAAAAAATTACTAATGAAAAAAAAAAAAAAACAAATAATAATAAAACATAAAACTGTGCGTTATTTTGGTTGTTGTTGGATCCGTTGTCAAGTACACTAGACGTACGTGAGTCAAGTATACTAGACGTACGTAAGTAAGTACTTCACGTATAATACATATCTAAATTCTTCTTCGTAATAATCTTCAAATTTTGTTCTCTTCAATACGCTTGCATATTGTTATTTTAATGACTTAATACAGTGACTAATTATAATATTTATTTATAAAGCATGCAAAAAAAAATGTAAACAAATACATAAACACATAAAATGTATTTTAATAAAGAGAGAGAGAGGAGAGAGAGGGGGAGAGAGAGGGAGAGGGAGAGAGAGGGAGAAAGAGATTTTTACAATCTATCGAAGTAGTGTCTGACTTTCAATGTTCCATGCTAGAAATGTAAATGTTATATATACACATTATTTTTTTTTTTGCTGTTTCCATTAAAATCATTTTGATGAAAAGGACAAGGAAGGAATTTTCGAAAATGTTTGAACTAAAAAGAATTTCATATTTCAGTTGCAATGACTAATAAGAGTTATTGTTTTATTAACAAAAAATTCGCCTTTCAAATATTAATTTGTTTTTATTAACAAAAGAAAAATAATCTTTTTTAAGCATTTTTTTAGATATCAAACATCAAATTTTAATTTCAATAAATTTTTTTAGCAATTTTAAATAAAGTGATTTTTGCAATATTACTGCTAAAAAAGTAATTTTCCCTTTTATGACGATATTATTCTAAACAAATTTTTATTACTGTAATGTATGTATTTTCGATAATTTATTCTGAACAGTATAAATTACTGATTAATTGAATTTTTTTTCATCTTTGAATAGGAAGCAAAAAAGTGAATTGGATTTGAATGGCAGATGACAATAAATCAAAATGAATAATGAAAATGATAGTATTTTCTTTTCCTCTTTTTTTTTTTTTTTCAAAAAAAAAAAGTGACAAACTCTTATTGAAGCATTTTAATCCTTCTTGTTGTTCTTTTATATTTTCCGCTTTTCTTTATTTCCCGATTTCCCAGCAATATTTTGCTTATCGTTGCATTCATTATCAAAAAAAGGTTAGCAAAAAATGAAGTTTTTGTTTAAAAAAAAAAAAAAATCTTTTTCAATTTGTTCATTTTCTATTAAATTAAATAAAAGTGTCAAAAAGATAGCAATGCCAAAAGATCGTAACACTAATTAGTTGCAAATATATGTATGTACAAAGTTTTGCTGATTATTTTGACAAGCAAATTTTGTTAACTTTTTTTTTTCAATTTACTCATTACTTACTTCTGATAAAAAAAAAAGAAATTTTTGGTTAAAGAAAAAAATTATATATATCGAATAAGCATAAGAAAGTCACGGTAGCTTTAAATATATAATTATGATTTTGTTTTAAATAATGTGATTTTCTTGTTTGACTGATTAATGATAACGAATTATCTGCTATTTTTGCTTTCTCCAAACTTGCAATACAATATTTGAAAGGAAAAACTTTAATTTGTAATTATTGTTCGCCAATATTTTTTTTACCATCGCTTTCTATCATCACTATTTTATGGCCATTTAAGTACATTAATTATTAATGATACATTAATGAAAAATGATAATTTATACTGCTAACAATAATATGCACTGAAATATTTCAAATGTTTACTTATTACTTGATCGATTTGTCCGGTTAATTGGACTGAAGTTTTGCAATTTCAAATTAAGGACTGAGTGAGTGATCATTTGCTTATTTGCAATGGGAATTTATGTTCACATATCATTAATTTCTTGAACAATTATTTTCAATCCATTATTAATTTATTTAACAACATTTTCATCCTATTTAAATTTGATTTAGCTTAACGTTTTTTATCAATCTTTCATTAGACTAACAACAGTTTGAGTTAAATTTTCCATGGGAAATAATTTTGTAACGAATTATTAAAATAAAATTTTGATACCACAAAATCCCGTTTCTTCATAACACGAATATATCGTTTCATTAATAATACCTACCCAAGAATATTCCTATAACATTTTTGAAAAACTATTAAAAAATAATTGTTGCAGCAATTCTTATCAAATCACAAACAAATCCTTAATACAAAATCAAAAATTTAATAATTAAACAGCGATTAAAAAAAGTCATAATCTACCGAAGTGTACATTAATTAACGAATTAAACCGCCTTTAATCGACTAAACTATTTCAAGCACCTATCGCAATTGTAAACAAGCATTTATAATAGAAAAAACTAAATTAAAAATTGCAAGAATTTTTTCTTAAAAAATTATAAAAAATTAATTGCAACATAAAGAACTCAATTGTCTCAACAGCTAATAGTGATGGAATAAATAAACAAATGAACTAATCAGTAAACAAAAGGATGAACATAAGGATTCGTAAAAAAATAAACCTTTATTTTTCTTTTTACTTGTTTTAAACAACATTCAACAAATTATGGCTAAGAAATGATTCAACTGGTTCTACATATGCATACTCTTCATACTGTTAAGCATGAAGTACAGAAACAAAATTGTTATATTTGCTAGTACAACTGCATTGCCACAAAGAATATTTGCATATGAATCCTAATGTTAAGAAGAAGAGATTAATGAGCGGAAATAAAATGAAATGGGAAATTTGCTGAAATCATCCATTGCAACGGGATTGATCACAATGAATAATGAACAATGATAACGATGACTCATCCATCCATTCATACTTTTGTTGAATCATTTGTTTCTTTTTTTTTGTAACTTACAATGAGAAACTATATCTATTTCCTTCTTTTTTTCTTTTATTTTTGTATTTTCATATTTACCCATTGCTTTACTTGATGACCTCTCCCACTCGCTATTCTTATTGGTTTGCACAATAGTGGAATGTATTTATGTATATTACATCAAGCTGATCAAACTAAGATAAATAATGGCTGTCAGCTATTAATGTAGAGAGAGACAAAGGGAGAAGGGAAAAGAAATTGCTTAGTTGTTAATCATTCCTTATTATACTCCCACGTACAGCAAATCCATACAAAATATTTTAGTTATTTGATGTTTAAAATATGAATAATTTACGTAAATATTTTAAAATAGATCAATAATAATGACTAATCAATAAATAATAATAATAATAACAATAATAATAGTAATAATAATAGTAATAATAATAATAATAATAATAATAATAATAATAATAATGATAATAATAATAATAATAATAATAATAATAATAATAATAATAATAATAATAATAATAATAATAATAGTAATAATAATAGTAATAATAATAATAATAGTAATAATAATAATAAATAATAATAATAAATAATAACAATAAAATAATAATAATAAATAATAATAAAATAGCAGTAATGTGATGATAAATGTAAGATTAAGAAAAGCATTAATTAAGGAAAAAACGAAAAATGAAACACATTCGTTCATTTCAATTTTTATAAAAAATTCAAAATTCGAACAAACTTGTTATATTACTTTTATTAGTACAAAAAAATGAAAATAAAAAAAAAGAAATAGTATAGTGGTACGTCTGAGAAAAAGAAAAGTGGCAACTTTTTTTGAGAAAAAGTAGTAGTATGAATGGATATAAATAAATGAAGGTAATGTGTATTTTCGACTCGATATTTACTCATTGTTTGTTTGCTGGAAATTTTCGAATGCAACCGAAAATGACTAAATAAACGGTTGAAAAGAGAAAGTTGTGAGATTGTGATCGTTGAATGACAATTGAGTGGCGCTTTGCTACATTGAATGTTGATGGCTGGTTGATGCATTTTTCATCAGATAGATAACTCATCACAATCTGCTAATTGCTAACCAACCGATCATCCATCGACCAGTTTACAACTTTTACCAAAATACTGGAAGGAATATAATAAACTCAACTTTTTCCCTTACTTTTCTATTGAGTAAAAAAAAAGAAACACAGCAATACTGATAACACAGCGATAATAATAAACTATAATATGATATAAACGTTATAGTAAAATGTGATGAATTAAGACAGTCACGAAATGGCTACAATAGTTACCATTATTAATAATATAGAAATAATAAGGATGATCATAATATGACAATGATAGTGAAATATATGAAGAATAATAAAGAACTATGATAAGAATTAAAGGTACAACAATCATGATAATGACAACAACAGCATTAATATTGGTATTAAAGATTAGCATCATTATTAACATTATGGAAATGATAAAACGGTAGCATGATATTATAATTTACTTCAAATATCAACTAAGACCATAATTTCAACTAAAGACATGAATGGCAGAGTAATTTCATTTTTGATCATCTAATGAGCTTAGCAAAATTTTCTTTAAGAAAAATAGAGTAATCTATCAACAATTTCTTTGAAAAGTGATATTAAGAAATGTATAAATTCAACGAGGCAATATGTAAATGTTTCAATTAGACAACTCAGTGATAACAGTAATAATAATTACATTTATGATAATTAGATGAATCATAGACATCGCCTCTATTCGTTAGACAATAGACCTATCAAATGAAAAATGAAGAATGAACAAAACTGATTATGTCCTTTTCGAAAAAACAAACAAAAAATTTTAATCTGAAAATAATGATATTTTCGAAACTAATAGTACCAATAAAATGTAATAACAACTCAATGATAACCGTAATAATAATTACAATGATGACAATAGTAGCAATGATATGATAATTAGCAATTACTCACATTATTGCTGTATAATCATTTTTATCAGTTTGGCTTCCTTTTGTATTTCTAGAAACTCAAAAGTTTCACTGCAAATATTTTGCATCTTTGCTCATGTGCATATGCATATTTGAGCACTGACTGATATTTATGTAAAATGAAATCTGCATATTTCAAAAAGATCATATAAGGGTGCAACATAAGATATATTTATTTTCTCGGTAGAAGTGAATGGTAAACGTTTGCTTTTTACCAATATGGAAACAACGGAAGATGTTGTTAATGAATTGCTGGGTTTAGTGGAAGCTTCATCAACGAATCCAATGGAAGAATTTCTCAATGATTTAGTACAAGTATCATCCAAAGATATGGTAGAACAATCGTTTCAGGATTTTTTGGAAATACCAATTAAGAATAAAATTGATGAAATTCTGGATGATTTGATAGATGCAACATATAAGGATAAAGTGGAGGAATTACTGAACGATACGACAAAAATATCATCATTAAATAAGGCAGAAGAGGAGGATTTAACTGATGCATCTACCAAAGATACAATGAATCGAATATTGGCAGCTTTGGAGGAAGCATCAACGGAAGATACAATGAATCAACAACTACTGAAGAATTTAGTCACAATTAACGAACCAATGGAAGAAATATTAAAAGAAATGTCCACAATATCGTCATTTAAAGATTCCACTACAACACTATTCAAAAATTCCCTTTCTCCGGAACACTTAAAAGCTTTTCCGGAACATTTGGAGGAAGAATCATCTGAAGCACTAATCACAGAACAATCAACGAAACAATCCAATGCATTCAACCCAAACGACTCCGACTTTATTGTTAAGTTTCATTTTCAATCAAAGAATTTTTACGGGGGAGATGCAACTAGTATATATGCGGTCCGTTATGAAATGTTGCTCTATTGGAAATAGAAATTTTTTTTAATGGTTTTTTGCGTGCTTTTTTCAATTACAATTCTTTTTGTATTCTTGTCATAAATTAATCTTTAAATATAATTTTTAGTGAATATGATTTTTTTGCATTCTCCCATAAAATTTAATGATTACTGAGGTTTTTAATTCTTAGTGGTTTCACCAATTTCGTAGATCTTTGAAAGTCTGATTGATTCTCCAAATTCCAATAAGATGCTATACCAGTATATAACAGAAATCAACAGTAGAAGAGTACAGCGTAGTATATTTGAAAAAAATGAAATTATTCCTTATTAAAAGCAATCTATCATAAATGTCAAAGACTTATCACCTTATGTTTTTCATTCCGACCTAAGATTTTGTTTATTAGTTTTTGGTAGCGTCTTTGTGTCCAATATCAAATGCTAAACAAAAGTAATGCAACTATTTAAATGATTTTCGAAAATTAGGATTGGTACATCTTAGGTATGATAGTTAATGCACAATCTGAAAAAGATTTTCATCCTTTCATTTATATGTGAATGAATTTATAATTGATTATTTTCAGGGAAAAGCTTATTCAATGTGCACTTCTCTGGAGAAAAGTGTCATTTATCGCAGGAATGATCCAGGAACAACCAGAGAAGAATGGTGTAATTGGCCAGCTATGCCATTCGAAGAGGTTTGTGATGCAGTTTGTTGGAATTTCAACATAATTATTGGCATAAGATTTGGGTGCATACATATATATATGTTTATACTGATGTGAGATCTCTTTGGTTCAATTAAAATATAAATTCAGCTATTTATAACAATGCATATTTTTTTGGAATTAAAACATTATTTCTGTGAAATAAGAGAGTCAAGGAATAAGAATGAAGTTTTACTCAGCGAAAATTTCATGTTTTGGTTTTATATAAGAAGGTTTTCTGTAAGGATTGATAAATGACAATTTGAGAGATAGCTCAGCACATATAATCATATTATATAGATGCGAAAATCACTAATTCGCATCTCGACTTGTGTATTTGAAATCATATTCAAGTCAAATTTATTTCATTTAAAAAAAAATCATATTTAAGTCAAAAATTTATTTCATTAAGATGGATAATACACTGAATGTGCAGCAATACATACAGCAGTGTATTCATAAGGATCCATCAGATGTAGATACTATTCTGAAATCCCCGCCAGGTCAAGAAGAAGGAGTGTGGAAATATGAACATGTGAGACAGTTTTGCATGCAACTCAATGGTTTAACATTACTGTTGCAGGTAAAAAAGCTTTGTGATATGTTCATTAAGTTGTTATAGCGAAAATAGAAATTAATATAGTGATTCATATTTTGTCGAACATATTATAACTGTGTTTGGCGTTTGAAAACTTGCTGAAATTAAGGAATGTCTGAGATAACTTGGACAATTTGAAATTCAAAACCAAAAGTTTCCTAAAATCTAAACATGAATTAGATTTTCAATGGTTGCAATTTTTCGTTGAAGTAACTAAAATTTCAAGGATGAATGTAAGCCAGACGTTTGTGTGCAAATGACTGCCACAGAACAATGGATATTCCTTTGTGCGGCTCATAAGAATCCGAAAGAGGTATCGGCTTTTGTAGATTCCATAAATTTCATTTACATAAAATTATTATGGTGGTTTTTTAGTCAGAATTTTTTGTGAGTTCTGCATATTATTCTTATAATTTACTTTATTCATATTGTGGGTTTGCTTTTCGCAGCACTCGACTACCAGGATATTCGTTCGCTGTTACTACCATATTTTATTGTAGTGTTCGGCAATCGATTATACGCGACATACTTTGGACGGTGCAGCGGCATTACTGAATAGTAACAAATATTTTCCCAGTCGCGTTTCAATTAAAGAGTCATCGATCGCCAAAATTGGTTCGGTTTGCCGCCGAATTTATCGGATTTTCTCACACGCGTACTTTCATCATCCTGAATTGTTCGAAAAATTCGAGGTGATGATATCTTTTCATTCAACTGTTACCATGTTCGCTGTTACTACCATAGTAGTGTTCGGCAATCGATTATGCGACAGGATCATGGGCTAAAAAAAATGATCGATAGTTTTTATCAAAAACTTATCAGAAAAATATGATGATAATTATGGACTAAAATAGGTCGATAGATAGCCTGTTCTTATCTTCTTCTTCAATCAGAAAAATCGAACAAAAGTTTTGAAATAAACTACCGGATAATTTGTTCAAGCTTTCTGGCGTGACAAAGTTGGCAATATTTGATAACATTTGCTAACTTTCAGACAGAAACGCATCTTTGTCGTCGATTTACAATATTCGTGAAGAAGTATAACTTGATGGCAAATGAGCATTTGATTGTGCCAATATTAGAACAGAAACCGAATCACTCATAACTATGAAATGAAATGTACTTTCTTTGAAGTATAAGTAGGCTTTAGCTCTTTTTTGTTGATGTCATTTGTTTGTTTCTATATCTTTCATTTGTTTATTTCTTGCTTGTTGAGTGAAATGTATATAATTACTTTATTCCAATATCACTCATTACTTGAGACCTGTATTTAGCACAGTTCTATAGCAAAACGGATCGAGGAAAAGAGCATTATTCTTCCACATTGTTTTAGAGATTTCCTTTTAAATAATTCTATTTGAATCACTGCATCTAATCATTTTTTTTTCTTTGATCCTCTAGAATTCCTATTATTTGTTATGGAATTAAAGTTAAAGATTTAAATTATTTTCGAAATTACTGTAAGAATGTTGCAGATTCAAACTTTGAACAGTTTCTCAATATTGTTTTTTATGGTTTTTCTTATTTTATTCCGAGACTTTTCTGTCAAGTCGAAGAATCCATGTTATGTGAAGGCTTGAATTCCTAAAGGTGAAACTGTTCAGTGTTTCATTGTTGCAAACTGCAGGAAATTGTACGCTCCATTTTCATTTTTCCACCGATGATCTTTACTGCAATAAAAAAGATTCGAAAATTTTCTCGAAGATAACATTTCATTACGTAATCGATTCGTACCAGATGGTTAGGTCGACAAGTATTCTATTTGAATAATTCTAGAATGGACTTCATACCGCTTTATTAAACATGTCGAACATTATCAAACAGTGGTGGAAATAGCTAAGAAAAATTGCTTTCAAGGGTTGTGTTTTTGTCTCGAGGGATGTGTTTGCCTTCATCGATGTATCTTGTCTAAGAAATTTCCAGATAATTATGAATGATGACGACCCGGAATATGATGAAGAAACGGGACTTAATCTGTTCCTAAGACTTGGTGCACCATGGCTCATGCAGAAAACTGGTTGTCCAGATGTCGACACTTACCTTAGCGGTGGGGTCGCTAAGGGTAAACTTACCGAATTTGTTGGTAATATCGCTTCCGGAAAGACACAGGTAAAATCGACTTTGTTTATGTCAAATCATATTTTTACTATGATAAGTTACTTAGTTCTAGTATTCCACTGAAACCTTCTTTCAACTGTATTAAAATTCGTCTATTCAACTGCAGTTATGTCTTTCGCTCATAGCAAATCAATTAATCAATGATGAAAAGGAACAAAAAATCGTTTATATCGACACAAACGGTAGTTTCCGTAGTAGTCGTTTACTGCAAATGTTAAAATCTCGTGGTGTACAGGTAATTTGCAATGAATTAATCCATTACTACAACATTTTATTTTATCATTAATATTTCTTTATTCTTATTTTCTACATTTTCGGTCAAAAAAAAAGTATTAGGCAGTATGCTTCACAGGGCTTTCTGGTCAATATATATTCGAAAAAAGTTGAATGCCTTCCAGAACTTTCCAACAATTCTACTGTGATATGCATAGCAAGTGCAAATTTACAGAATGATTCAAATTTTAGGATGGAAATACAGCAAAAGGGATGCTTGAACGAGTGTTTATATCACGGACTTACGATGAAAAAGATCTTCGAGCTGTACTCTCAGATATTCAAGTAATTAATTACTTAACACTACTTCATAGGTTCAAATGACCATATACTGAATGCAAATTTACGGGATGGTTCAACTTCACATAAAAGAAATGGTACTTCACCAAACACAGCAAAATAGTTGTGGAAAGGGAGTGTGTATTGATTGGTGAGGCTAATTGTTACTGAGAGAGAGTTGTGACGAGAGAAGTAGGGAGATTGTGAAGATGGTGTGAGTGGCAGAGGAGGAGAGAGTGGTTTTAAAAGTTTTTGCAATAAGCCACTTATCATTTGCAGTGGGAATAAGTGAAAAGCAAAATTGGGAAAACTGCAATCGAGATCATACTTCACAGAATCATTTCTGTAGTATGTATTTCTTCGCTGTTAGCGAAAATGCGACGGAGCGCAGCCGCGATGATGTGGCAGGGCGTCATCTCCAGAGCGGGAAGAAGTGTGTCATCCTCACTCCTACAGTGCGGGTGTCATACTTGATGACTGCGTGGAGAACCTTGAATTAGGTTTTCCGGAAGGAGTTGACGCGTGCTGAGCGGTCAAACCAAAGAGAATGTTATTGACCGAGTGGTCATTGATATTTTGTGTGAGTCACTTACAATATTTCAAGGTGTAGTTGCTCCATAAAATATTGGAGAAACATTGTCCGCAAACATCCTTTTAAAGGTAATTCAAAATGTGCACGAATTGCTTCATAATGACAACGACGCAATCTTGCGTTACGCATCCTAGTTAACTGCATCAATAATAACAAGCAAAGTAGAAGAGTTGAACAGAGTTTTATCTTTTATTAAAATCAGTGGGAAAGATATTTGACGGATTTGACGGATAATTAATATTCTTTTAAAGGTCATTCAAAATCTTGCACTCGTTCTAATCGACAGTATTGGTGCAGCATTAGCATTTACAGCTTGGGGATACTTCGATGGAGGTTGATTCTTTCATTGGAGTGTTCATCCAACTAGCAAAATATATACGAATTATGTTCTACGAGACAGCTTTTTAATATTTGGTTGTATCATTCTAGATTTGTGTGCAATATATATCTTAAGGTCCAAATTTTGCAGGTGATTCTTATAAAAATATTTGAGATTTCGTATGGAAAATCTTGATAAAAAAGTTTAAATGAACGATTTATCGCTTGTTGGTTCCTTGATTATATTTCCTTGTAACAACAAAAAAAAAAAAAGATCACTAAAACTCACCAAATTTAGGTCGGAAAATTCAGGATGAAATTATTGCTATACTTCGTTACATGGCACATCGTGGTTGTGCCATCGTAACAACAAACCATTTTGTTTACTGGCGTGGGGAGCCATCACCATCACTTGGTAAACGATGGATCAAAGCGGTTGATTTCAGATATTTACTATTCAAATTATCAGATTCCAATTGCTATATGCAAATCATCTCTCCGAATCATCACAAGGTCAATACCATTATTATTATTATTATTATTATTAAATTATTGATAAATGTGGTCACTCACATGGCTTACCAAATATTTTAAACAAGAATTTTGGTCTTCGCCGTTATAATTCCAACTCTATCACCAGATTAGTATTTCCTCTCCATTAGTTTTCCAGAGATATCTTCTTCATTTGCCTCGTTATGGTCGTATTATAACTTCTTTTTTGTGTGTTATATAAGGTTTATCTTCAGTTTGGTCTTTTCAATATCATTCATTGGATTCGAGATGTTATAAATTTCACTTTCTTCTTCGTTTTTATTTTGAAAATTTAAAGATGTTATAAATTTCACTTTTCACTCCCCGCTATCTTTTTTTTCATTTCTGTTTTTACCATTTCTTTTTCATATGTTTTATATTCTTCACAGAGTTATTCCATGTATCATAACGGTAGCGAGTTGAATGAGAACTGTTTCGTCACATTTATGATTTAGCTCAAACTATCAGTTGAATTTCCTTTTTTTCAGTCTTTTTGATATATTTTATGCGTAACATTAATTTTCAAATTAGATATTGCAATCACAATCAACGAGTCCGTTCTTTCATTACCTTTTGTATCAGTGTTTGCAAATGCACTCATGTATCGGCTTGTTTTTTTTTTTTTCTTTTAATTTGTCAGCTAATTAATTTGCATTCCTTAGGTTACTTTAATAAATATTTGTTTAAAAATCTAAACCAGCATTTTTTTCCTGATCTACATTAATATATCATTCAATGTCCTCTTTTCGATATTCTGCTTTACTTGTAATAATCCGATATCGCTGCATAGATGTAATTTCCATAATTATAGCTCCTTTTGTTTAAAGCATTTAAAATGATTTAGTACAAACAATTTCAGTGAATGATTTTTACCTGTCTTGAATGAATTGTTTTGCCTTCATTTGACTTAAATATCTTTAAACTACTTCATATAATACGAAAAATATATAATCATAAAAACGTAATGTTTAAAATCAAAATCGCTGAACAATGTTCTCTTGTCATAGTTTCATTTACCCTAGCTATATTATTTCACATCTTTCAGTATTGCTGTTGAACATTTTCCTGTTCTAATTCTTCAGATTATCACTTAAAATTTCTATCAATAACTGAAATTATTAACTTTGCCTTTCATCTACATTGAATCTTTTATTTTTCAATGCTCTGTGATGCTATTGCAGTTATGATTAACGAAGGTTTTTAGATGGAATTTTCATGGAGTATTAGTGTGATCTTTTACGAATTTCAGACTCTCAAGTACCAAAATTGTCATTCGCTTTATGCTTTGTAAGCGAAATTTCCCGATAACTTTCCCGTTGTAGGCCTTTTTCATTATCACACTACCAGTAATTAATCACCATTCTACATTAGATCTTAGGTATTTTCATCCTTTCTACTACTTTAGAAAAATACGGCCACAAATAAGGTATCTATCCAATCGATATTTTCGAGTTCATACTTCCATCTTTTTACCATCCTAGCTCGTTTATGATGCATGTTGGCATATTGTATTAAACTGTTTAATTATTCTAAGATATAAATTTCTTCTTTAAAAAAATCGCAATCTATCTATTTTGTCTTCATAAGATTTAGAATAAACTGTCAAATTTAATATGCGCTATCATATTGGTCTCATAAATTGATTTCGCTTAGGTCAAATAGTAAAATAAGAAATGGTAATACAAACTATGTTATTTTTACTTCAGTCTTGTCTAAAATGTTTATTTAACATTTAACACTTGATCACTCTGAAATAGGCAATGATCCCTCATAATAGTTACTGCTTTTTTGTGAAACTTAAAGTATTTTCATTCAGAGACTTAATTTACCATTGAGTATTTCTCTTTTACCTGTCTAATGAATAACTTTTCAAAACAATAAGAACATTGACGTAGATGTTCAAGATGTCCTAGCCATTTATCAATCAAAATTTGATATCAAACTTCCAACAAACGTCATAAAAGTCATGACTGTGATATTTACACACCAGTGAT